CCATTCGATTCGAGCTATATTGTATGCGCACGGTCGTCTGCATAAACGAACATGTGCATTGTTCATATAGAGTGAACGGCGATGCGTCGGTTGCGTTTGCGGCTATGCTTGGCATATCTATGCTACCTAGCGTATTTAGGCAAGCATAGAAATATGCGCGAACCGGTCACTGCGTGTTGATAAATATTTTTTTGTCTGAATAAATGAAAAACAAACACTAACATGACTGTTATTGACAACGTTAATCATTATTTTCTTTTAAAGAAACAACGTAGTTTATTACTTGTTTTTTGAGTTCATTTTAATTTTATTTTTTATTCATTCAATTTTTTCTCAAACGATTAAATGTTTGTTAAGATGTGTTTTATTTCTTCTTCTTTTTTTCCTCTTTATTATTTAAGTAAGTTTGCATTTGAGTTGAAAACAAGCCTTACATATGGCAAAACTTCCTAGCCTTCGAACAAACAGATAGATAAAAGTCTCCAAATGCTCAATTTAATTTCAACCACATTGAGATTTGTTGTTCGAGTCAAGAGTGGTGACTATGAAAACACTCAAACATTTATTTTATCGATTAAGATTGGATTGTACTTTTCATATATATTTTTTAATTGGAAATATCGAAATTGGTTGGTTATAGTATATCTTATAAATAACCCACTCAGGCTCATATTTTCACATCTCTGAGAAAGATTTTTGGGTTTTTTTCATAGAGACTATTTCTCATAGCAATATATGTTGGGTCTAGGGGCTTAATACGGCAAAAAAATTCACAGGAATTCACGTAAATTCACACTTTTGAATCGAGTTATTGATGAGTTCGGTGAATTCGTGTGAATAGAATGAAATGTGTCAAAGTAATAGAGTTATGATAACCGCAATATTTTTTAATTTATTATTTTTTCAATATTTCCGATTGTTTTCGATAGGAAATCGCTTAAAATTGAAAATAAAATTAATTTTTATTAAAAAAATATAAAAAAACATTTACAATTTCGTTACACAAAATATAAATATTGCAGTAATTGCCACAACCCTGACTAGCATTATATGGGCTTCTGTGTTATTCTGCCGAACTCCGCTCAACGTGGCGCCATCTCTATACACGACGTTGAAGTAATAAAAGTTTTTGTGTATTTCTCAAGTTTGAGAGAAATCGCATATTTACATTCATTTTAGTTGCGTTGAATTGTAATTTAATAACTGGTAATAAAAAATGTCAACAAAATCAAAGAGAAGAATTATAGAAGTCACAACAGTTATTATATACATATTTATGGTTTACTACCGCCAATTTAAGTCATATGAAACGCCTTTTTATTCGGTCTTCTCTTCATTACAAAAAAAATTATATAAATATATACACATAGCGTAGAGCATGTATTTCTTTCGACGTGAAATTTCGTAGCATTTAAAATCTGATTGCAAATTTCACTTAAAATTAATCGAGCACACTTAGCAATTTTATTGATGAAAAAAATTTAATTTAATATAAAATCTCAAAACATAGTACCATACAAAATGACAATTTGTTTACATGCTCATCGTTGACAGCCGGTATATGTGATGACATAAACCAAAGTGAAATGCTCATGTATTTGTGCGAATAACATTGCTCTCATTGGATCACATGTTCAAAATTCTTAACGTTGATTCGTTTGCTTATGCGCATTGTGCATGTATGTAGCGACGCTCAACAATCAATATTCAAATACATGCGAATACATGTGCACTTCATTTCGGTTTTTGTCATTCTACTGTTCGTGTAGAAAAACGTTCGTGTGAGTGACAACATTGATTGTTTTCATTCCACTGTTTTCTCTCTCTTGTGTATTGTTTTGTTTCTATTTTATTTTATTTTATTGTGTTTTAAATTGAATATCATTTTAAAAATTATTTATTACTTAAATGTTTTTAAAAAAATTGAACAATTTATTAAATTACAATTGAGAAATACACAAACAAATCTATAACTTAGATTTTGTGTAAAGAGATGGTGCCAGTAGTAGAGCTTTTTTCAAAAAGTCAAATGTAAGTGGGACTTGAATTGCCAGCAGAAACTATTCACCACTATCTTACATATTTGAATGAAATCGCCGTAGAATTGACTGGAATTCATTCGTTTGCTGAAAAATTCAGTTAATTTAGATATTATTATAGAATTCAGTCGTTGAAATTTTGAATTAAGCCCCTTATGTTGGGTAAAGTGCTCTGAAGACCCAGAGGAGTATTGAGGAACAAACCTCTTCCCTAGATTCTTCTTCAGTGAGGAGCAAAGTATTTAAAAGGAGTTGTTGAAATCTATATGGTTGTCTCTTTTACTCGCATTAAAATGCATATTTAAATATGGCATTAGACTCACTTTTTCACCAACTCCTTTAAAAAATATCGAAGATTTGAATTATTTTTTTCGCTGTTAATATTTTGCTCTTCACTGGCGTTTCTCTCAAATTCTCTTCTGGCTCCTCAGAGCACTTCCCCTCACATATATTTCTCTGTTTTTTTTATAATAAAATTTTAAGCTGAACTGTCCAACTCATCTTACAAACAATTGATGACGATCAAATGCATGACATTATAGTTACGAAATGACTCATCTGTACGAGTTCAAATGATATTTTCGAGAGCGAAAGAAAGGTAAAATAAGTAACCTCCTTCGGTCTATGAATATGAAAGAGAGGCGTGAATGTGGAACTAGATGTGGAAGCATATCATAAATCTTAGTTAGATTTATACAAATTCTTCTTCATACTCTAAATTAGCTTATTTGAAACCAATATATTTCCATTTCCACAATAAAATACACTGTGTGTCACTCAAAATCTGACAGAAACGAGACCAGTTGGTTTAACATAATTCGGGGGCGCTGATTTCAATGGCATCACCCGTTTTTCTCTAACACGTCAGGATTTTCCACAATTTTCCTAGAGAGTTTTACGGAACTGTTTATACTCTAGTATCATTTTGAATTCATGCAATATCCCAGACACGGGACCTATCAGGCGTTGTAGTACGGTTCAAGTATAGTTAAGCCACATAATTCGTTTTAAAAAAATTGGGTCATTTGAAAAAAGATTCAGAAATTCAGTTCTACGGTCAAAGATGGCACTGAATGAGATCGTTAATCCCTGAAACATCGATATTTAGCTTCTAGAGCTCAATACCTTTTCAACAATACCTCAAACATCGAAATCGATAAATCTTTTCGAAAAATTCAGCATTTTCAAAATTTCATATGATTTCTATGAAAAATCAAAATGTCTGTCTGTCTGTGCGCAATTTGGCGTACTCGATTCTGATCTTTTTCAAACCTTCTGAGATTAAAGTACATAAAAAACTAAGACTTTTTTGTTCCAGCACTTTTCGATTTGGCCGCCATGTTGGCCGTGGTCGGCCTCCAAAAGTCACTTTTTGACTTTTGTCCCCACGGTCATCAAGGCATATCCGCTTGACACACCCCGGACATATGCACATCGTTGGAAAGGTCTTGAAGTGAGCTATCGATTGATGCCATTTGCGGTCCAAAAACTTCAATGTGGAGCGACCAAATTGGCCAGAAACAAAAATGGAAATGAAGGAAACTAAAATATTCAAATTGTTTTACTTCAAAGTTCAGTCTTTTTTCCACGTGGGAGAAAATAAATAAGAATGCGATACATGTGTCCCAAAACGTATTATCACCAAGTCTAACACTTTTATGTACGTAGTTGAACATTCCATATTCTGCTTAACATTTGCGGAAAATTAAAAAATTTGAAATATTTACACCTGTCGACAGTATATTATATATATATTGATAGCGAACAATAGAGTATTAAAAGGGAAGCGTTTTTAAAAAGATAAGTTCATTTTGAGATTCTACCTTTGAAATCTATTCTCCAAAGTTGAAAAAATGTTTTATTTTCGCAGTATATTGGTAATTACCTTGATCGTTTTGGTATTTGCGACTTTGTAAGCAGAGCATATACTAAGCATAGATATATATCCTGGATATTTTGTCAGTATCCGATATTCATTGGAGCCAGACTTTGAAATAGAGTAAAAACAATAGAAGTTATTGTTATAGTGATTGTAGTAATGTAAATGGTTTTATACTTAGACCTATAACAATCACTTCTATTGTTTTTACTCCATTATAATGTGACATTATTAATTTCTGGCTGCGATAAATATCGGATACTCACAAAATATCCCGGATATATATCTATGCTCAGTATATGCTCTGTTTGTAAGTATTAAAGGAGGTAACTGAATTTAATTCAAGAAAAAAAAATAAAGAAACATTTTGGTCTTTGTTTTACAGCCTGACAAATGCATCTGACGATAAAGATACTTATTCTCTGATGGGTGAAACCACTGAACAAGCCGAGTAAGCTTTGAGATTAAATATCATACTGATTAGATTAGAAATATCTTGTAATATTAACCAAATATCAACACTTTCAATGTTTTAGTGCTAGTACATCTTATAATATTTTGGATTCTGATGATCCGCTGATACGGCTTGCTTGCAAAATGTATATCTTACATCTTAAAGCATTACCTAAAGAAATAATCATATTAAAATTTCAAATATTTCAGATTTAAAGACCCGACGTGAGTGTTTCGAAGAACGTATATGCATGATTTTCTCATCACAATTTGATATAAGTAATTTTCTTAAACTAAATGAATTAATTTTATAATT